CTCTATGATTTAAATTATTGTAAAATACTAGATCTTGGTATAGGTTGATGCAAAAGTTACACTTTTATCCTCTTGAAAGGGAATTGAAGTTTACTTAGTTAATGGTAAAGAATAACAACCATTATTTAAAAGATGCTAATACATTTGAAAAATAAGCAGAACAGATAAGTTATTTAAAAGGAAATTTAGGAGCGCCTGGGTGGCTCAGTGATTAAGCGTCTACCTTCAGCTCAGGTCATGATCCCAGGGTCCTGGGATCGAGTCCCATATCAGGCTCCCTGCTCGGCAGGAAGCCTGCTTCTCCCTCTCCCTCTGCTGCTCCCCCTGCTTGTGTTCCCTCTCTCGCTGTCTCTGTCTCTGTCAAATAAATAAATAAAATACTTAAAAAAAAAAAAGAAATTTAAACTTACTACAGAAACTTTATAGATGAAAAGAAAGCAGAGGATAATGTCTACTGCAAATATTTTTTTCTGAAAAGGAAAATAATAAAAGTTTATTAGGTGAAATTAAAAATGTGAAGAGAAAATCACTGATTTGATTTAAAATCCAGGTATCTCTTTTTGTGGAAATACTTTAGATGGCATGACCAGGAACAGACTGAAAATCTTAATTCTATCATGCTCATGGGACTAAGACTACCAACTTTCATACCAAAAAGTATCAAGAGACACCATTTCTATATATTGCTTAGAGTGCATTAAACAGTGAAAAATTAGCATTGCTGAATTGACACATCCCAAAAAGCATAGCAGTAAAATATGTAACAGGAAAACTGGCAGAAATGTAATAAGGATAGATTATAATTGTAACAAGATGAAGCAGGTGAAGTTTTGTATTCCTGGCTGTGGAATTTCTGGGTCCAGGGATATGCTCATTTTAATTTTTAGTGGACATTATCAACTTCCCTTCCCATTTATACTCTCACCAGCAGCTTAGGAGAGTGCCTGCTTTCCTGTGTGGTGGTAAATGCTGAGTATTATCAAAGTCTTTCATTTTTGCCAGTCTGAGAAATGAAAATGATGTCTTGTTTTGATTTACTTCCTGAATCATACTGAGGTGGAAATTTGGGCTTTGCCTAGGCTTTTAAGAAACAGTCCAGGTAATGTATTTTCTCCATCTTTTCTCTACACATAATAGAAAGTAATGATTTAACATTTTGTCTTCCTTCCGAAGAGTAATATGATCTGTGAGCTGAATTTTAAGTGATTTTCTTTCTGCATATAGGTTGAAGCTTGTAGATTATATAGCAAGTTCTCTGCCCGGCCGAGCAGCATAGAAAATATTCCCTCTATTATCGAAAAGGTAAAAGTATTTAATTATAAGTCCTCTAGGTCAATTGGTTTTTCTCAGTTGCTCATACCTGTGTTATTTGTATTCTCCACAGAATAAGCAACAATTTGGTATATATTCAGGCAGTCAAAAATGATAGTATTAAAGAGCAATTTATATTTTAATGTTTGCTGTCAATTCTAGAAACAGATAAATTATTTTTGAAAAAAGTTTCTCCTTCAGTTTTTAAAATTATTTTTTTAACTACAGAAAAGTAAAAAGAAAGCTAAGATGAAACCCTGGGTAACCTTTCTCTTATGCTTTTGCAAGTTTAGTTTTGAAAAGTAGTACTAATGCATATAAAACCATGCCTTAGTTGCTTAAACAGCATGTTATAAATTAATCTTAGTTAAGCAACATTTGTATGTGGAGTTACATTTGAGCTGTTTCAAAACCATGTGTTACATAGACCATTTGACATATATGATAACATCATGCAGAGTTTCTGAAAACTTAGCCAAGTCACTAGGACTAGGAAGCAAGTAAAAGCACATGTTACAGAGTAAACACTTGGCAGGCAGAGCCTGGTGGATAATTTCTAAGACTATAATATGACATGAATCTTAAAACCCTAGGTGAGTATTTTCTTTCTTGTTGCTCCCCTTTTAAACAAAAATATCTTTTAAAATATATATAATCAATAAAGGGCATTTCAATTTTAGTTAAAATTGTTTATTTCCCCAACTGTGGATGTCCAGAAAAAAATAAAATAGTATTCCTTTCACAATTTTTAATTATCTTTGAGTGGATTATGTGATAAAGACTGAGAATTTTAAAATCGTTTCTTCTATTTGTAATTTAGGCAGTGAGAAGCAGTATTTATGGTCGTCCAGGTCCTTGTTATGTTGACATACCTGCAGATTTTGTGAACTTGCAAGTGAATGTGAATTCTGTAAAGTGAGTAATAGTTATACTGAAGTTCTTAATTGTGTTATTATGTTTACCTTTTTAACAATTTACCTAGCAGTTTATAAGTTAATCTTCATTTGTCTTAACTTTTGAGAGTTTAATAATTAAACTAAATCGTGGCCAAAGGGTTTAATTCTCTTAATTAAAATGGTATTATTTAGGGGCGCCTGGGTGACTCAGTCGTTAAGCGTCTGCCTTCAGCTCAGGTCATGATCCTAGGGTCCTGGGATCGAGCCCCACATCGGGCTCCC